TAAACATGTTTTATCTAGATAATTTAGAGAGCAAGACAAAAGTAAAGGGATTCTTAATGCCTGAAAGGCCAACTATATACAAAGAATTATTCAATCTAAAGAATTTCTAGTAGCAAGCTAAAAGGTTCTATTCTATGCCCTGTCTTAGATAATTTTCTAAACATCAGAATGAATAAAGGAGAAAAGATACTTATTTGAGAAAGAGAAAGAGAAAGAGAAAGAGGAAGAGGAAGAGGAAGAGGAAGAGGAGGAGAAAAAGGAGGAGAAAGAGAAAGAGAAGAAGAAGGAGAAGGAGAAGTAGAAGGAGAAAGAGAAAGAGAAGGCGGGAGGAAAAGAGAGGGAGAGGGAGAGGGAGAGAGGGAGAGAGGGAGAGAGGGAGAGAGGGAGAGAAGGAGAGAAGGAGAGAGGGAGAGAAGGAGAGAAGGAGAGAGGGAGAGAGGGAGAGAGGGAGAGAGGGAGAGAGGGAGAGAGGGAGGAGGAGGAGGAGGAGGAGGAGGAGAAGGAGAGAAGGAGAGAAGGAGAGGAGGAGAGGAGGAGAGGAGGAGAGGAGGAGAGGAGGAGAGGAGGAGAGGAGGAGAGGAGGAGAGGAGGAGAGGAGGAGGAGGAGGAGGAGGAGGAGGAGGAGAAGGCGAAGGCGGGAGGAAAAGAGAGAGGGAGAGGGAGAGAGGGAGAGAGGGAGAGAAGGAGAGAAAGAGAAAGAGAGGCCATTATAATATTAGGAGTAACGCCTTCAACAATCCTGACAGGACAGAACACTAGACTGAATCCAAGAAGTATGTACTGGGTGACTATCAAAACCACAAAGAGAGCCAAACAACAACTGTACTTACACAGACAAGAATGGAATGGAGGGGACTGAACAGCAGCACCTCTAGAGGGAAAACCCTGGGCTGCCTATGAGCTCGGTGAAATTACAAACTGAGGTCACTGCCCAAAACGCTAAAACCAACCTGAGATACACTGGTCAAGCCTCCCTCTGGAACGATGGAAGCCTTGGCTGCTCTACTTCACCTGCCTCTCCTCTGGCACAGGCGTTCAGAGAAGAGGCAGATGAAGAGAGCCTCTGAAAGGTCTGAGGAATTATCTGGAGAAGGGCTGTCTAATAGAAATACAATGTGAGCTATATAAACATTTTTAAAATTTCCAGTAGCCACATTTTAAGAAGGCGAAGATTAGCAAAAATAATGTTTTATTTAATCCCAAGATACTACATTTCACATGTAATCAGTATAAGAAGTTAATGCAAGTTTTACATTATGTCTCCTTACCACATCTTCAATATCTAGAGGGAAGGACTCCTTCTGTAGTGGAAAACTTTAAGAAAACATAAGTGACAACAATTCCGGAATGCTATAAAAGAAATTCATACACCTGAGTGAGAATCACAGATTCTGTGAGGAAAAGAATCACACACTGAAGTGTAAAGAGATGGACCCAATTCTCTGGAAAGGACAGAAAACCTGGCTTCCAAATGGGAGAGCCTAGAGGGAAAGGGAAAACAACGCGAGGAGTACCAGGTAAGAGTATTAAGTCACTGGAAAATGGCCACAAACAGGATCTAATAAAGTTGCAAGAAACAAACCTGTCCTGTCTTTCCTCTTTCATGAAGTGTTTATAGCTGCATAGCAAGCTATCTGAAAACCAGACATTCTTCCATACTAAGAAGTATATACTTACATTCAAGATTGGGAGGTACTATATAATAATGTTTGGTCTTGGCTTGGATTCCTGGGAGAAAACTTCTAAATGTTTGAAATTTCATTAGTCTTGGTATTCTTTATTGGCCCTGATAGTTTATGCTGATAAGGTAACTCCTGGAGGGGGTCCTAGATATGTAATGCTAATGCTGACTGAGGAGCGAGGCAGACCACCATGACAACCAAGTGATTAGAGGATTTTGGGACATTCAGAAGAGCCCAAGCTTCAGGGAAGCAAGGGAAACTGGAGATTGAGTTCAATTAAATCACAGTTCTATCAATCATGCCTACATAATGAAACCCTAATAAAAATTATGACCACTGAAACTCAGTGCAGCTTCCTAGTTGGCAAGCCATCAATGTGTCAGGAGGATGAAGTGCTCCGATTCGATGAAGAAAACTGTCTTTGAGACTGTTAAAGAGAAAGCCACAGGCCCAACATGGCAGCACTAATACCAAACCCATACTTTAAATGCAGTTTCTACCTCTCCCAGAAACATAATTTTAATCAACCAGTCTGTGTTTTCTGGTCCACATCAGTGAGGTAATCAGTCACATGGGCCCTTCTCCAAATGCCCCTGGCCCCGTGCACAGAAAGAAGTGGCAATCTGTTTTTGGGTTCTCTTTCACCCAGAAATAATCCTTGCTTTTTCTTTGTTAATATTCCCCTGCCCCACTCTCCCTTCTATAAAACCTTTCATTTTATACAACTCTTAAGAGTGCCCTTCTAGTTGCTAGATGGGATGCTTCCTGACTCATGAATCTCTTAATAAAGCCATTAGATTTTTCAAATCTACTTGGTTGAATTTCGTGTTTTTTCTTAACAAGGCCTTTTCACACTTCACCCTATGTGTCTCTTTATTTGGCTGATCCTGATTTGTAACTATTCTGAATTCTATGAGTTGTTCTAGCAAATTACTGAAACTGAAATAGACCATGGGAACCCTCCAAATTTGTAGCCAGTTAGAAATGCAGATGGGCTGGGGACCCCCAAACTTGCAGCTATGGTAACTCCAGGTGGTAAGCAACAGAATTGTACTGTAGTATTTTAGGAAAACAAACATCTGACAGAATTCTCAGTGGCTACAGAATTTTTCCTTTCCTGCCAGAGGCCTATCACCACCAGTCCTACCCAATTTTCACATAGCACTCTTACTTCTAAACCCCCAGGAAAAAATGGCAAATCTCCCATCAAATCAAAGTTGGCTCCTTTTAAGAGGGAACTAATGAAAAGAAAAGAAGAAGCCAAGAAGTTATCAAACAATAACAATGAAGTATTTTACCTTTGCTTAAAACAAGTTCGGGTGTTTTATTATAATATAAAAGTAGTGTGGGGAGGAGAAGCCTTGTCACTGAAGAATAAAGTTCTGCCTTGAGTCAGGAAATTGAGGCTTCTACAACACTCATTTTCTTTTCATGTACGTATGCAATTATATATCCTAATGTCTCTATCACCATAGATGTAATTAACTGTTTGCAGAATGGTGCTACAAAGCCTTTGGTTATGACTCAAGCAATGAAAAGCCATTTAATACATATATCTGTGTGGGGGATAAAGAGGTGGAGGGCACAGAGAGGGGGAGAGGTGAGAAAGGGGTCAGAACTGAGTTGTGAAAGGGAACACCTAATTCTAAACTCCAAGGCACCCTTGGTAACTGATGTTCAGAATGAAATGAAAACTACAAGTAAGCATGGACGAAAATCCTGGAAGCAAGGTGTCCAAGGCCACCAGGCCCACCAGGTCCACCTAAAGCTTCCCATGGGAATAAGGCTGTGCACTAAGTCAATAAGCTCAAGTGGCATAGCCCTCATTGTTGGATGGATACAAGTTATTTAACTCTAAGCTCAAGTTTCCTCACCTGAGAAATGTTGTTGTGGACAGTACATTGCAGTTGCATATGGTACACAGAAGGGTGCTCAGCCAGTGCCAGCTCTGAGACTGAGAATGACAAGGCAGCTCCAAAGGACCCTCAAACTGCAGTACAGACAAGGGCTTCCCGCTGAGGTCCAGCTAACACACAGAGCCCTATTCATGCCATTCCTGGTACCTGTTACCCAAGGCCTTGAGCTGGTAGTGTCCTTGCTTCCTACTTCACAGGCATACTTTCTAATATGTAGGCTACTTACAGAGGTTGGCTTTCTGAAGACAATCTTTATACAAGCTGTCATGTAACTATTGTGAACAAGATTATGCTTAATTGAGACAGAAAATGAAAGTCTTCCCATTTTAATTCCAAATGCCAGAATCACAACCTAAATAGCAGACTGACCTATGTATTATGTACATAATTAATTCATAATGTTCAAAGAAAACTAGATGTAAAATTAGCAATGCATTTAATGTGATTACTGATGTTTTTCTTGGAATATTGTTATGGTAGTAACCTGGCCTAATGTCACTATAAACCCAAATGTACAAGAGATAGATTTTACAAAAAAGCCCTATTTTCTGTTCTTACATAACAACTAACTTACCAAATGGCCTATGAAATATCTTTTCCAAATAACAGATATTTTACATTAAGGTTACAAAAACAAATATCTTGGATATATGCTTACTATGTGTCAAATTTTTAAAAGAAAGTAATAATGACTAAATTAAATAACATTATTTCAGTTAGCAAAAGGTAAGAGGAACCCTAACTTACCTGGAAACTAAATAGCAATTCACTCCTTTTTCTTACCATTCTACAAACCAACCACTTACATACATATTTCTACTATTCAAACATATCTAATTAGCAACATTGTTAAGGGTCAGTGCCTTCAATTTTCAAACAAGATGACTGGCTGAGTCTGTGTCTCAGATTAAGTGTTAAGCACCTGACATACATCTTCTCTTTTATACCTTAAAATAATTCCAAGATTGATAGTATTAGCATCCTCATTTTACAGACAAGAAATAAGAATTTGGGGTGGGGTAGTGGGATAGGGTGGTTATTTGCCAGGATGCAAGCCCAGACAGTGTGACTCTCGAGCTCTGTCTACTAGCCACTACTCCCTTCTATTGTGTCTTGTGAGTTTATTCATGTCATAATCTACCTTTATTAGCATAACATTAAATAGAAATGTTAAGTTTCCAGGACAGGGATTATCTATATTTAATCATGTACATAATCAATGTAACTGATCAAAATGGTAGTTGTAGACAGATGTTAAGTAGTAATGATCTTATACATATTGTATATTAGGTAAGCCCCTAAAATTTTTAGCTGATTAAAAATGTGACTTTAAAAAAAACAAAAAAACCCCACCGCATTTCGTCAAGTTACTTACAATTAATAAAACTGCTAATAGACTTACCTCAATCAATTTGTTGGCATGTTCACGAAAAACTTGGGCATACTCTTTAACTTCTTTCTCATTTCCATTCTTTGCAGCTTCAATCAACACTAAAAGTGGAACGTTGGTTTCCAGGAATGAATCTGACACATGGTCCATGACAGCTTTGCGAAGCTAATAATTAAATTGCAAAAACTTGATTTTATTCTCAACAAAAAGGTATACTGCTTATTTCTCTTATACTTTTAAATCTAATTGAAGCTTATGATAGCTTCACTGCACTTATATGAGGACCCCTCCCCGCAATGTGATCCATTCAGATATATAATCTGCAACATAGGAAACATGATTGTGGAGATAAAGTTTTACACCAAGAATGTCAAACTCACAGCCCATGGTCCGCATGCAGTCGCAATTAATATTTTTTTCAGACCAGCCAATATAACGGTATATAAAAAAACATTTTAATAAAAACTTTGTAACTTAATTTTTACAATATCCTGCTATAATCTTATCTAATAAAAGAGTAATATGCAAATTAACCACCACTCCGCTACACCCACCAGGCACCCCAACAAGCCACACCCACCAGCCAATCAGGAGTGAATATACAAATAAACCCAAGATGGCTACGATCACAGAGAGCAGGAAGGAGGCTTGGGTATCCCCGGCGATAGAGGAAGCCAAGCTTTCTGCCTGCCCTTGCCAGCCTAGGCCTCTACTTAAGGCTACAATTATAGAAAGTAAACAAATCCAAACAGAAATGGCGGCAGCCACAGAGCTGGAAAGAGCGGGAGGCTAGGGTTGCCCACGGAGAAAGAGGAAGCCAAGCTTTCCGAATCCCCAGGCCTGCCCAGGCTTCTGCTTAAGGCTACAAAGTTTCAATGTAGAAGATAAATAAATTCTAGATACCAGGGCCTCTGCTTACGTCGCCAGGGAGGAGTGGAGGAGGGTGTGGCCAGCCTGCATACCACCACAGGCCCCTTGCCCAGGCTGCCCTACGTCCCAAGGGAACTCCCACCCTAATCCAGGACATACTTCAGGGCAAACCAGCCATCCCTGACCGGTGCACCAGGCCTCAATCTTATCTAATAAAAGAGTAATATGCAGATTGACCATCACTCCAACACACAAGATGGTTGCCCTCATGTGGTCAAAGATCCTGCCCCTATGTGGATACAAGATGATCACCACAAGATAGCCAGCAGGGGAGGGCTGTTGGGAAGAACCAGGTCTGCTAGGGAAGGCAGTTGTGGGCGATCAGGCCAGCAGGAAAGGGCAGTTGGGAGGGACCAGGCCTGCAAGGGAGGGCAGTTGGGGTGATCAAGTCTGCAGGGGAGGGCAGTTAGGTGTGACCAGGCCAGCAGGGGAGCAGTTAGATATCAATCAGGCTAGCAAAGGGGTGATCAGGTTGGTAGGTAGAAGCAGTTAGGGGCAATCAAGAAGGCAGGCAGGCGAGCAGTTGGGAGCCCGCAGTCCTGGATTGTGAGAGGGATGTCCAACTGCCTGGTGGGATCAGGCCTTCGGGCAATTGGACCTCCCTCGAGGAGTCCCAGATTGGAGAGGGTCCAAGCTGGGCTGAGGGACACCCACCCCCTGTGCATGAATTTCATGCACCAGGCCTCTAGTTATTAATAACAAACTACAATTTTCGCTAATGACTGATTGCTATAATTGTGTTGCATTCATTTCCCTTATGTGCAGGCATACCATTTCTCTCCACTAATACTAGCAGTGATTATTTTAGCAGCTGATTGCCACATCATTAGTCTTGAACTGACTTGTTTTGAGTGTGCAACAGAAATATTTTGCTTTCAGAGAACAAGAAAAATAGGTTTATTTGCATTACGCTTATTAATTTGTGCAGTTATTCAGTGTCTAGTAAATTAACGTTCAAGAAAAAATATTAATTTTTACTAAAATATTCTATTATTTTATGTTAACAATTACTCATTTATTTCAGTCCTTTGTATTCAGCATGTTTCTATCGAAATAAACCTATGTTCCTATGAAAATGAAGCTTTTTGGGTTTTTTTGTGTGGCCCACATAAACTTAAACCTGGTTTATTTGCCCCGGGTTAGTCTTTGAGTTTGACATGCTTGGTTTACACTACAGTTACAACATTCCAGCAGTTCTCGCTGCCATCTTTGAGGGTGGGGCAGTCAATTAGCATATTCCCTCTATTATAGGATTTCACCCCATTGCAACAGAATATACATTCTTCTCAAATGCACATGGATCATTGACAAAGATAGACCACATGTTACAAAACAAGTCCCTACAAGTTCAAGAAGATTGAAATCTATCAAGCATCTTCTATAAATTCAACCTTACCATTTTAAAGAGTAAAAGTTAATTTGATTCCAAAATGTTAATCGAATTATTTAACTTTAAGAAGTTCTTTCCTCTATAGCTACTGTGTATCCTGGAAATACATCTCCACAAAGGATCTAAGAAACTGTGAGTGTGTAATCAAAATGGGACAAGTCAGAAAATAACTGCAATTTGTTTTTACTAATATGTGAGTATCACGAGATCCTTCAAGGTATTTTCAGTCCCCCAAGTAATTTTAAATTGATTTTATTATTTGTACATTTTTTCACACTAGAGCTAATTTATGCAGTCCATCCCAGTGGGACCATATTAGTCCAGGTCCCTGAAACATTTGCTTAGCCATGTAGAAGTGTATGAGCAACAAAACAGACAGAGTCAATTTCCTGTGAAAAGCAATTCTTACCCCTAATAAAATGTGAGGACCTGTATTCATTGAGATTTTAACAAAAACTACAAAATTGAAAACTTGAGGAAGCAATTGGAAGTACTTGAGGAAGTACTTTCTTTAGCTTACCTGTCTACGCAGGTCCCTGGTCTTCTTGGTCATTTTATCTATCGCAGAATTGAGTGCATCACTTCTTTCTTTACGTCCAGCCTGGAAAAGAAAGAAAGAAATGCACCTTTTAATGATTCACAAAAAAATTTAATGATAGCCAATAGCTATTTATGTTCAAATCAAAAATATTGAAAAAACAGTCAACATTTTTTAGCCCAAAGTTAGAAAATACACCAGGGGAATGAACAGAGGGGATCATTTGGCTTTGTTCATAAAAACATAATCTTACAACTCTTAGGCTCCACATCATCTGATTATGGGAATTGAGGGATTTTTATCAAAATAAGAAAGGCCAAGGAATAAGACAAGACTGTCATTTAGAAGTTCCACTTGAAAAATTAAATTTGTATTTTAATTCAAGGCTCAGCATACACAAATTTCATTAACAAACCAGCTCTTCTTGAAATGCAAGCTAGAAGAGGTTACATCTGATTTTGATGAACTCTGAGATTTAAAAAATGTCAAAATATTAAAGCTGGCACCCAGCACTAAGACAACCTGAAAAACAATTTTAAAACTAAGATGTACCATGGTGAGTGAGTCAAAGTTAATAATGAATATTATGGAACTTGAACAAGAATGTTTTGTGAGATTATTTCAGCCATATTTTTTCTTAATTTGAGGTTAAGCTTAATGCAGTTGTATTGCACAGAATCAAAATATATGGTAATAGAAAGAAAAAGGACAAAGGCAATTATCCTAGATAGGGCTAGAAATATTTAATAAGACATCTGCAAAGTTAAACTATGAAGTATATCAAAAGTTTTTCCTTACAAAAATCCCATCCAAAAAATGTTGCTTTTTCTGTAAAACACAGTAATCACAGAGAGAGACAAACAGGCAAAAGAATTTAATCCACTGTTCTACCTTTGGGTGCCCTTAAGACATTCTGGTATGGATATGTCATTAGTATATAAACCATAACAGCAGATGACTGGCTGGAAATGAGGAGACATTATTTTATTTTCTGAGTGCATTTTTATGTATGTTTGCTACTCCCTTTCTCTCATCCCCCGTCTGTTAAGCGGGAACAATGACACTTATCCCTCTGCCCCCATTTCTAATGGACTGCTGGAATATTGGGGAATATAGGTTAGCAGAGGACAAAAAGGAGACTAAAAGTTGAAATATAAGTGATAAATTGATATGGTCACTATCAAATCTAAAAAGGGTCACATTCCTTCCCTTTCCCCCATTATTCCTATGTTGCCAATAAAATTATTTGTAGCCCATTAATATTAATGTGTAAAAAAAGAAGAGTTTCAACAAAATTGATTTGGTGCTCACTTTAGCAACACATATATTTTAATTAGAACAATACAGAAAAGATTAGCTTGGCCTATGCACAAGGATGACACAAATTCATGAAGCGTTTCATATTTAAAACAAAACAAAAGTGATTCAGGTATGAGAATTTCTACCTGCAGGAATAAACAGTGATTTATTCATAGCTATTAGTAAGAAAAGAATGTGACAAGTATAATTAATTACTGACAATCTCAAAGATCAAATACCATGATCTCAGGGAAGGGTATCTGAAATTTAATTTAAAAAAAAACTGGCAATGTAGTAGGATACAAAATCAACACATAAAAAATCTATGGCATATATATATATATATATATATATATATATATATATATTGATTTCAGAGAGGAAGGGAGAGATAGAAACATCAATGATGAGGATGAATCATTTACTGGTGGCTTCCTGCAGGCCCCTTACTAGGGATCAAGTCCACAAGCCTAGCATAGACCCTTGACTGGAATGGAACCTGGGACACTTCAGTTTGCAGACTGATGCTCTATCCACTGAGCCAAGTTGGCTAGGGCTCAATGGCTTTTTTATACACCAACTACAGGCCTGGTACACTAATTCATGAACAGATGGGGTCCGGCCAGACTGGTTGGGGGCAGCGGGGAGACACAGGAGGTTGGCCGGCTGGCCCCACCTCCAATCAGGGTGGAGGTGGCTGACTGGGGATGGGAACAGCTGGGGAGAGGGGCTATGGGAGGCTGGCAGGCTGGCCCCGGCCCCAATCCAGCTGCGGGGAGGGGCAGCCCCCAATCGGGCTGGTTGGCTGGCTGCAGTGCGCCTCATAGCAACTGGTCATTCCGGCATTCTAGTCGCTTGGCTTTTATATACATAATGAATGCTCAGAAAGAGAAACTAAAACAATCCCATTTACCATTGCAATAAAAATATTAAGATACTTAGGAATAAATTTAACAAAGGAGGCAAAAGACTGTACTCAGAAAATTACAGGATGTTGAAAAAAGAGATAGAAAAGATGTAAATAAGTGGAAGAATATACCGTGTTCATGGATTGGTAGAATCAACATTAAAACGTCCATACTACCCAAGGCAATCTAGAGATTCAATGCAATCCCTATTAAAATACCAATGATATATTTCATAGAGCTATAACAAATACTCCAAAAATTTATATAGAATAATAATAATAAATAAAAAGACCTCAAATAGCTGCAGCAGTTTTGAAAAAAAAAAAAAAACAAAGTTGGAGGAATCAAGTTATACTGCAAAGCCACCGTAATCAAAACAGCCTGGTACTGGCACAAGAACAGACACAGAGATCAATGGAACAGAACAGAGAACCCAGAAATTGACCAAACCATTACGCTCAATCAATATTTGGCAAAAAAGGCAAGAGCATAAAATGGAGTCAATAAAGTCTCTTAAAAAAATTGTTGGGATAATTGGACAGATACATGCAAAAAAAAAAAAAATTGAACAAGACTACCAACTTACACCATACACAAGAACAAACTCAAAATGGATAAAAGACTTATAAGTTGTGAAACTATACAAGTCCTAGAAGAAACCATAGGCAGAAAAATCTCAGACATCTCTCACAGCAATATGTTCACAGATAAATCTACTAAGGCCGGCAAACTTTTGTGGTCAGCAAACAGAGGCTCACAAGCTACATACGACTTTTTGGCCCTTTGGTATGGCTCTTTCACAAAGTAACACAGCCTGGGGAGTCTAATTTGAAGAAATGGTGTTAGAAGAAGTTTAAGTTTAAAAAATTTGGCTCTCAAAAGAAATTTCAATCACTGTACTGTTAATATTTGGCTCTGTTGACTAATGAGTTTGCCGACCACTGTCCAAATGTATAGGAAACTAAGGAGAATTTTTAAAAAATGGGATTGCATCAAAATAAAGAGCTGCTGCACGTAAAAGAAACCATCAACAAAACAAAAGGAACCCACCGTATGGGAGAACATACTTGACAATGATACATCTGATGAAGGGTTAATATCCAAAATATATAAGAATACAACTTTACAAAAAGAAGACAAACAATTCAATTTAAAAATGGGCAAAGACCTACAAAAAGGACATACAGATAGCCAAAGATATAAGAAAATATGCTCAAAGTTACTAGTCATCCAAGAGATGCAAATAAAAACAATGAGGCACCATCTCACACCTGTCAGAATGGCTAGCATCAACAAGTCAACAAATGACAAGTGCTGGTGAGGATATGGAGAAAAGGGAACCCTAGTACACTGCTGGTGAGAATGCAGACTGGTGCAACCATTATGGAAAACAGTATGGAGTTCCTTCAAAAAATTAAATACGGATCTACAATTTAACCCAGTGATCCCACTTCTAGGAATGTATCTTAAGAAACATGAAGCACCAATCACAAAGAATATATGCAATCCTATGTTCATAGCAGGACAATTTACAATAACTAAGATCTGGAAATAGCCCAAGTGCCCATTGGTAGGTGAGTGGATAAAAAAAGATGTGGTACATTAATACCATAGAATACTATGCAGCAGTAAAAAAGAAGAATATCTTACCCTTTGGAGGGGTCTGGAGAATATCATGCTAAGTGAAATAATCCAGTCAGAGAAAGACAAGTATCACATGATCACACTCATATGTGAAATCTAAGTAACAAAATAAACTGATGGAGGGGATGCAGAGATATGGAAGCATGAAACAGAGTACAGAATCTCAGAGGGAAGGGGGTGGGGCTAGTCAACCAATGACCTTGTATACATATATGCATAGCTCATGAATACAGAAGTAGGGTGCTGAAGGCCTGGGACGAGAGGCGGGGGAGGATTGGGGCAGGGGAGGGCATTAAAGGGGGGGAAAGGAAGACATATGTAATACTTTCAACAATAAAAAAAAAAAATTTATTTTATTTTAAGTGGGGTTGGGGAACCCACCACTTCAATTAAAAAAAACAACTGACCTCCTAATTAATGTTTTACTCAAGAAAGTCTCAGTATATTCCTTAGGTACTCATGCACTCCAAGAAAATTTCTCTATATAAACCCAGTGAAGTTTGTCATTGTTTCTAGCCATGTTTTTTTTTGTTTGTTTTTTTGACATTTCTAATAGATCATTTCTTAAAAAAAAAAAAAAAATCTATTATCAGAAACCCAATTTGGTGAATAACATGATTAGCAATTTGATCATGGTTGGTCTACCTGGCCCACACATGGCTGATGGGCTCTGCATAAGCTAAATATGTGATAAAAGTCACTGGGAGCTTTACGCAAAGACTAAGTAGCTCAATATTAGAATAGAATGGTTATATATGCCTGCATTCCTAAATGAGTACCCTCTCCTTCAGTTGCAAAGAACATAAGTTTCTAGTTTGCCTAATGTTACCTATTTCATCCTAAAAGTTTAATTTAAACAACAACAACAAAAAAAGGCAGAGAACGCTAATACTACCATGTTTCCCCGAAAATAAAACATCCTCCGAAAATAAGACCTACTTATAGGTTTCCTATTGAGTGAAATATAAGGCATCCCCCCGAAAATAAGGCCCCCCCCCCCTAGGCTCTGTCTCAGAATGAAAATTAATTTCACAAGAAATTCACCAGGAAATTCAGGAATTGGATTGTTATGATGATGTTCCAGAAGAGATGACATGATTGTCATTGAATAAATGAGTAAATTCTTGATACTGTAGGATTCAGTTTGTCTGGTTTGATAACTACTGTACTACCGTACCGTACACAGGTAATAAATTTCCTTTATTTTCACTT